AAATAATCTTAATATTATACTTTCAAATCACTGTAAAAATGTCTGTATTGTGAGCGTTGTCTTAGTAATAGTGGTTTGATATGAATTCACATTTTTTTATTATTTGTCATTATTAACTTTATATATTTTTATGGTAATACCAAAAATTCTTAATTTAAATAAAAATTTTTTGTTTGACATCGTGTTTGTACAAGTAAAAATTATTCATTTATTATTATTTTGTACAATTTTTGATGTGCTATTTAACTTGCTCTATTTAGTCACACGGCATATGCTCGGGTTCCATTAACTTTGCCACAAAAGGACTCAAAGCAGTCTAGTTTACAGATCGGAGTGTAAAAGGAATCTAATCAGGAAATTCAAGAGATTCACAATCCATAAGACATTCAAAGTGACAATCATTCACACACTTGGGGTCCAAAACTAATTGCAAGTCACAAAGGTTTTTGAAATTATTAATGAATGTATGGCTGAATAGAGGTTTATATTCATATTTATTGGGGCCTTAATGCTCACAACAAACATAACTGACTATACGGTCAAGTATTTCTGTTAATAGTTAATTGCCTGGTCATAGCCATTTAATAATATTATTGATTAAGTTGATACATGGGTTTATATTGTATACTCAAAATTATGCTGTCATTATTAGGAATCCACAAATTATTGTGATTAACTTTGAAAATGGCTATACAAACCTTGTTCACTACTGTACACCCTTATTGGGGTGTTTAATAAGTATAGACCTCCTACGGTAGGTGGGAGTATTTTTGTGTTTAATAGTTAGTTTATGTTATATTAATTCATATTATAATTTTATTTAAAGTTAATATCATAATACCTATAATTTGTATTAAAATAATAAAATTCAATTTACTATTGGAAAATAAATGTAATGATATATAAATGACATAATTAACATTTATCAATAAATAAATTTTTATACCCTTGCGCATTTCTCTTTCCTTTCTTTCATATCTACTTTGTTGCTCGTACCATGTACCTTTTACCATAGCAATTGTCACTGTTATGATTAAACATATCAGTATCAGCTTGGTAGTCATCATTTTTATTGTTATTTATGATGGGTTTTCAAAAAAATAAATCCAATTTATAAAAATTAAAACTTCAAATATGTTTTTAAGTTAAATTAAACTCATTTTAATTAAATTTTTATTAATCAATTTTTATAGTTTTAATTTTATTATAGTTAAAAATATTTTTATTTAAACATTTATAATATATTATTCTTTTAATATTTATATGTTTTAGCTTTATCCAGTTCTGTTATAAACAACATTATTGTATTATACTATTAATATAAAAATTAAAAAGAAAATTATTAAAAACATATTAGATTAAACATACAGTACTGTACGTTAACAATGAAAACCTATACTGACAGATAGTTAAACATTTATTTTGATTAGAAATATACAGTATAATAATAATGAAATTATAATTTATTAAAAGAGTTATTAAGTAATTTTAAATTTATAATGTAACCGATAAGGATAATATAGCCAATAGGTATAGTAAGTATGCTATCTTAATTAATATTTATAAAACAATAAACTCAAATGAAATAAATTTGGAAAATAGAGTTCTGGTATAATAAACAAAATTATAAAATTCACAAATATTAAATATAATCTTTAAGAAAATTTATGAAAAACAGATGATGGTGCTTTATTTTGGCTATATTTAATTTAACACTATTTCCTTTAAGAATATTCCGATCGATAGCCCAATCATTATAATTATACAAAATTTGTGAACAATCAGGCCTTCGGTTAAATATGGGGTCGACATCATAGACATCAATATGTTTTACAATTCATTCATTTTTTTGTTTAAAATTTCATTCCCGATGTATATGTTTTGGTAACTATTATTTGTAAAGAATATTAATCATTAAAATAAAAATATAATTTATTACACACCTGTCATAATGAAACATGTCAAAATCTATTAATTTTGCTTTAAATTATTGCTAAACTATTATATAATGCCCACTTTATGCCCATATTTGCTACTCTGACACTACAGGCCACTTAAGTAAAACTGAATAAACCCTTATATAATATATACTAAAAGTAATCTTAGAATGAAAGAAAAGCTGTATTTTCTAACCGTTTTTTTTGGTGTAAGGGCTTCATATAAAATTTCAAATGATGTCTCATTTGTTAAGTTTACCGAGTTGAATGATAAATATTTTAAAATGCTTTAAAAAATAATTAACAGGTATATAATATTATTATATTATATTTTAAAATAATTAATAAAATATACCTAATAAAGATTTAGGGATATTGGTGTTTAACAATTAAATATTTATTTTGATTTAAACAATAGCTGAATAAACTCATGGAAAAAGTGATCATGGTGCTTTAGTTGTGATAGAATTAATTCAAAACTTGAATCGTTTAGAATATTCCGATCAATAGCCCAATCATTATATTTATGCAAAACTTGTGAACATTCAGGCCTTCGGTTCCATTGAGGGGTCGATAGCATTGACAGCAATATATTTTGCAATGAATTTACTTTTGTGTTTAGGATCTCATTCCCGGAGTAAAGGCTTTCAGTACTGTATAGATGTTGAAAACATTTTATTATTATTGCAATTGTAAAATTCTAAAATGGTTTTCATACTTATCAAGGTCAATAAAAAATAAATTGAAATCAAATATATCTTGACCAATTAATGCCAGGCTATAAATATCCACTTTATGTCCATAAATACCCTGAACTACTTCTGGTGCCTGATACTTTATTGTACCCACACCAGTAGAGTGTTTATCCCGAGTCATATAATTGATGTTTTTGTCGTGTACTTTAGCCAAACCAAAGTCACATAACTTAATAAATCTACCGTTTCTTATATTCTCAGCGATTAATATGTTTTCTGGTTTGAGGTCTCTGTGGATGATTTGTGGATTCAATTCATGCAAATACTGAACACTTTCTAAAATTTGACGGAATATTTCACAAGAAATAAAATACTCGATACAATCCATTGCTTCGCGTGACTGTCGACCAAATACTTGTGCTTTCACTTTAATAATATTCCGCAGATTTTGTGAACAGAACTCCATTTGAATATATAATGAATTCACTTCAATCCATGAATTGAAATACTGAACGACATATTCGGAGTGAACTTTAACTAAATTCTTAACTTCACTCAATACTTGTCTCATATCAGAAATTTCTAAAATGATAATCTATTTTCAAATATAAATGAAAACATATTTAATTATTACCATTAATTTCAATCATTTTGACGGCATAAATCTGTTCATCGATTTTATGCTTCACTTTAAACACAGTTCCGAAACTTCCCGAACCTATGGGCTTATCCGACAACTCAATGAATTGATTTTTGTAATGATTTTCACCTAGATTAGTTTCAATATGTGAATATTAATTAAATATTTTCAGTTATTATTGAATATTCAATAATTAAATAAATTGTTACCTTTACGTAAATTAGGTTTATTATTTGATATAAGAGTAAATGATTGAAATGAATTTGGTTTGGGTTTGAGTTGAGGTTTTGTTTGACCAGATTTTGGGGCCACTTCTGGGTTTGGGTTTAATTGCGGTTTTGTTTGACCAGTAGTTGGGGCAAATTTATTGTTTAAACCCTGTGTTGTTTGACCAGAATTTAACTCAATATTCAGGTTTAATTGCAGTTTTCCTTCAACAGAATCGGTCCCAACGTTTGTGTCATTAATATGTATTGTATTATAAGTTATTTTGTATTCATTGGCATAAAAGTCAATAAAATTATTATAATTATATGTTTGCAAAGTATATGGCGACGTAATTTTGCAAATTTTATTATCATTTTGAATTATTAATTGATTGAAACCTAAAAATGAATTTATTTCATTAAATTGTTGCACATTTAATTTTATTGGAATTTGCACCGGTGTCATTTGTGTTTGTCTTTTATTTTTGTCATCATAATAATTGCCACAAAAGTATATCATATTATTTGTTGTCAAAAAACATGTGAAATTATTATCAAATGATTCTGTTGAGTATGATATGATTGCCTTGATATCATTTAATTGTGGAATCAGTCTAGGTGAGAATATACAGGTATCAATTTTACCCCAACTAAATACCATACCATCGAAAGTAATGGCAAATGATTTATCCATTGAACAGAATATCCTTTTAATTTTATAATTATTTCCAAATGATATCAAAACCGGTGACGAGATTATTCGGTTTTCATTATCATCGCAACCTACTTGTCCCAAATAATTATAACCCCACCCGTACACCTGTCCACCGGTGGTGAGGGCGAGGGAGTGAGAACTACCACAACTGATTTGCGTTATATTCTTGTCATTCAAATACGATATCTTTTGTGGTTTTAAATAAACATTACTCTCTGTTACATCTCTACCACACTGTCCCCTCTCATTGTGTCCCCAACTGAACACATGGTTGTCCTCATTCATAGCCAACACAAAGTCATATCCATTGATAAACTTTCGGATCCGTTGTCCACACAATTCGGGTATGAGTTGTGGTGTTTCCACTCTATAATTATGACCCAAACCTAGAAATCCGCATAAATTATAACCAAAGCCATAGACGGAGTCATTTTTTGTGACAAATAGTAGTACATTTCTATTATTTAAATATACGTTGGAAACATGAAATAATTTGATCTCATGTTTAATATTTGTGTCAATCGTATCACAAATGCTAAACTTATCCAAAATAGTAGACATTTTTAATACAATTTCAATTAATTAATTAATTTTGTTATATTAAACAACGAAATAATCTTAATATTATACTTTCAAATCACTGTAAAAATGTCTGTATTGTGAGCGTTGTCTTAGTAATAGTGGTTTGATATGAATTCACATTTTATTATTATATTGTATTATTTGTTTTATATTAATAAGATAGTTATGTGTTTCATAAAGGATTCAAACAATTTTGATAGCATTTCCAATATAATAATTATCAAAATTAATATCCATTGGTTACAAAGATTTGTCTCACCGTATAACTTAAGTATTTTAACCTTTAATTTACTGTTAAAATGGCACAAAAATGAAAAAATATTATTATATACTTTGTGCGAGTATTAAATAAAAAACTACTTTAATTATTTATAAAGTAATTGTTAATTATACAAAGAATTGTTGTTAAGCAATATAATTTTAAAAATTAAAATTAAGTTTTACTGACAATATTAATGATAAATTATATAATGAATCTTTTGCACATTAAAATATGCATAACTCATTAGTTAGTAATGTTTAAAAATACGTTTAGATAAACTTATTTTGCTATTAAATAATGTAATGAAAAACTGGTCATGATGCTTTAGTTGAGGTATTATGAATTCAATACAAGTTTCCCTCTGAATATTGTTAACCAATAATCCATTCATTAGATTTTTGTAAAATTTTAATTTTTAAGAATTTATTAACAAACTGTTATATTATATTTTATTTTATAACAAATTGTTATAGTAACAAATTAGTAAATTGATCAATTAAAGACTATTTAATTAATCTTTTCATAAGTTGTTAATTTCATAAGGTAAAATAATTATAATTTAATAATTTTAAAAATTATTAAATGATAATTATAAACCACTTAGTTACATAAAACGTGTTATATAAATATGTTATAATTATATTTCATTTATATTTGATAATTCAATTTTTAACTAATTTTAAAGTTTATATTAATTCACTTTCTTTTCATTAGGATTATTAACAATTTTAAGGTTTATATACAAAGTATTATAAGTGATTTGGTATTTATTAGCATAATAATCTATAAAATTATTAAAATTACATTTTATTACATTACTAGTTTTGTAACTAGAACTTGAATCAATCGTGAAAATAATATTTTCATTTCCAATTAGAACTGGGTCATTCAAAAAATATGAATATAACTCATTAAATTGTTGGACATACATTTCTAATTGAATTTCTATCGGAATCGCACTTTTAATAAAATCATAACTTCTTTGTAATTCATATAATAAATTATTATTTGATATAAAATAGATAGACTCTGTAGATGAACTTATAGGTTGAATATCATAAACCTGTGTAATAAGTTTGGGTTGTGATACTGACATTATATTTGGTTTGTTACCACTGGTAATGTGTCCCAATTGATAGTAACTATTATGACCCCAACTGAATACCAAACTATTCATAGTAATAGCAAATTAATATTCATAAAACAATAAATATTTTTGATTTTATAATAATATGGTATACAATAAAAATGCTAGTGATATGAGTTGAATGACATATTATCGAAATTTGTTGCGTAACTCAATATGAAGTCCTATTTAATTGTGATAATAGTATGACACCTGTTGTCATCGGAAAAGTGCGATAAATTTAATAGTTATTTATATAGACGTGTGTTTGAGTGTATTAAATATAATTTGTAATAACACTTTATCGCGATAATTAATTTAATAAATAATATATTAATATTTTAAACTTTAAATTTCTAATTAGATTTTAAAATAATTTTAACATGTGTTGTTAACATAAAGTTAATCTGTTATAAAATTTAAAATATAATTGTACATATTTATATTAATTTGCATTTTATAATTTCATTAAATATAGAATATTCATCAAATTTCTGTTGATTAATAATTGTATGAAATTCACTAATATGTGTTTGTAGAATCACCTTGCTAAGTGTGCATTTATTGCAGGTTTTCAATAGTTCATTGCACCCTGGTCTACTAATTGGCACGTACGATACCATTGATACGAACATTGCTAAAGTATTTTCAATATTCTGGTGAAGTGGACCTATTTTGTATTCACCCTCTCTGAAATATTAATAATAAATGTGTTAGAAATTAAAAATTATTATTATAAACATTACTTACTCTAAGGTTATATCAAACAATTCCACAGAAATAATACCCAAACTATAAATGTCTGCTTTTGTCGTATACTTTGATTGATGCAATTCTGGTGCCATATATTTAGGAGTTCCCTTATTTTTAGAGTGACTCTGAGATGCAGTGATGTGCTCTACAGCCAAACCAAAGTCACATAATTTAACAAATCGACCGTTTCTTACACTTTCAGAAATTAATATGTTTTCTGGGTTAAGGTCTCTGTGAATGATCTGTGGATTCAATTCATGGAAATATTTAACACTTTCTAAAATTTGAATGAATATTTCACACGAAATGAAATACTCGACACAATCCATGGCATCTTCATCCTGTCGACCAAATACTTTTGGTTTCACTTCAAGAATATTCCTTAAATTCTGTGAACAGTACTCCATCTGAATGTAGAGGTGTTTGTTTTCGGGCCATGAGTTATAATAGAGAACTACATATTCTGAGCGAACTTTTCCTAAATTCTTTACTTCATTATAAATTTCTTATAATTTTTGTTTAGAAACATCTGAAATATTTATTATATGTTATTTTAATTTAAAAATAGTTTCAAATAGTATTTACCCTCAATTTGAACTCTTTTGATGGCATATATGTGTTCATCGATTCTATGCTTTACTTTGAATACAGTTTCGAAACCTCCCGAACCTATCGTTGATAACTCCTCGAAGAGGTTTTGGTAATGATTTTCAAAATTATTTCTAAATTTAATGAAGTTTTGTTAAATTTAAAATTTATTAGTAATCAAACTATGAAAATGAATTATATCTCGACTTATTTTTTATAAACTAAAGTGTACAGTATCTTTAACTAAATTATTACTTTTCTCGGAAATAGGATTTAAAATTTTATTTAAATTCGGTTTTGTTTGAACAGAATTTAAATCAATTTTCGGATTTAAATGCAGTTTTGTTTCATCAGAATCTGTGCCAACATTTGTGTCATTAATATGTATTGTATTATAAGTTAATTCGTATTCATTGGCATAAAAGTCAATAAAAATTATTATAATTATATGTTTGCAAACTATATGGTTAAGTGAACTCGCAAATCTTATTATCATTTAGTATTACTAATGGATTTTCAACTAAAAATGAATTTATTTCATTAAATTGTTGCACATTTAATTTTATTGGAATTTGCACCGGAGTCATTTGTGTTTGCCTTTCATTTGTGTCATCAATATATTTGCCACAAAAGTATATCATATTAGTTGTCGATAGAAAACACGTAAAATAATTATTCAATGATTGTGTTGAACACTTGATTGACTTGATATCATGTAATTGTGGAATTAGTCTGGGTGATAATATATCAATATTTTCAAATCACTATAAAAATGTCTGTATTGTGAGCGTTGTCTTAGTAATAGTGATTTGATATGAATTCACATTTTATGGTTATATATTATAATATTATTATGTGTTTTATAAAGAATTGAAATAATTTTGATAGCATTTCCAATATAATAATTATCACAATTAATATCCAATGGTTACAAAGATTTCTTTTGCCAAATAACTTAAGAATTTTAACCTTGTCTATACTGATAATATGTCACTTAATAAAAAAAATATTTTTCTAAACTTTGTGCAAATAATAAATAATAAATTTGTTAAATTATTTTATAAAATTAATGTTTAATACACATTGTCAAAAATTGAGTTTAAAAAAATTAAAACATTTAAAATGTAGTGTAGGTAACATAATTTAAATAAGAAATTATAAATAAGGAATTATAAATCAAATTAAAAGTTATTTTATTGAATATAATATTATTGATAAATCTTTTACTAATTAAAATAATGCATAATTCATTAATCATTAATGTTTAAAAATGTAAAAAAATTATTAAATCTAAAAAATGTTCTGAAGGGGTGCGGCTCTATTGACCTAAACTTAAATAACTTAATGACCAGTAGGTAAATATACCACATGATCAGTGTAAAATGTTCCCCTTGACCTTACCTAGCTTTACCTATCCTTACAATGGTCAAAAGTCTATTGGTCATTAAGTTATTTAAGTTTAGGTCAATTAGTTTTTAGGTCAATTTGCCAGTTCCCGTTCTGAAGAAATGCCAGAAATTTAAAATACAAAATTATTAAAAAGCTAAAAATATTGTTAATTCTACAAAAGTCAATTCACTTTTTCACGCACATATTCACTTAATTATAATTAATTACAACAAATTATTTCAATGAAATTACTGAAATGTTGAGCTAAATGTTGACATGAGTTAAATGGCTAATATTATGCTAATTTGAGGCGTACCTTTATATGAAGTCCTATTTAATTGTGATAATAGTATGACAACTATTGGCATCGAAAATCTAATACTTATTTATAAGGACGTTAAATAGAGTATAACCCGGTACAATAATTGTTTTGTATGCTTGAGTGTATTGAATATAATTTTTGATAGGATTTTTGTTGCGATAATTATCTCAATTATAAACAAAGTTACCAGTGAAATGTTTTAATTACAGTCTGTACAATAATACGTTTGTTTTACCTTGTATGTTTCATGTTTTGCAATTCATTCACTTTTGTGTTTAAAATTTCATTCCCGACGTATATGTTTTGGTAACTATTATTTGTTAAGAATATTAATCATTGAAATTAAAACATAATTTATTACACACCTGTCATAATAAAACATGTCCAAGTCTGATTATGCACCAATTATTTCTAAACTATAAATGTCCACTTTATGCCCATATTTGCTACTCTGACACTATATGCCACTTAAGTTAAACTGAATAAAACCTTATTTCTATTAAAATCAATCATAGATTGTAAGAAAAGCTGTATTTTCTAACCATTTGTTTGGTTTAAAAGGCTTCATATATTATATACAATTTCAAATGATGTCTCATTAGTTAAATTTTCCGAGTTGAATGATTAATATTTTAAAATGTTTTAAAAAATAATTAACAGGTATATAATATAATTATATTATATTTTTAAATATTAATAAAATATAACTAATAAAGGTTTAGGGATATTGGTGTTTAACATTTAAATATTTATCTTGATTTAAACAACAGCTTAATAAACTCATTGAAAAAGTGATCATGATGCTTTAGTTGTGGTCGAATTAATTCAAAACTTGAATCTTTTAGAATATTCCGATCAATAGCCCAATCATTATATTTATGCAAAACTTGTGAACATTCAGGCCTTCGGTTCCATTGAGGGGTCGATAGCATTGACAGCAATATATTTTGCAATGAATTTACTTTTGTGTTTAGGATCTCATTCCCGGAGTAAAGGCTTTCAGTTCTGTATAGAAGTTGTAAACATTTTAGTATTATTGCATTCTTAAAATTCTAAAATAGTTTTCATACTTATCAAGGTCAATAAAAAACAAATTAAACTCAAATATATCTTGACCAATTAATGCCAGACTATAAATATCCACTTTATGTCCATATATACCCTGAACTACTTCTGGTGCTTGATATTTTAGTGTACCCACACCTGCAGAGTGCTTATCCGGAGTCATATAATTGATGTTTTTGTCGTGTACTTTAGCCAAACCAAAGTCACATAACTTAATAAATCTACCGTTCCTTATATTTTCAGCCATTAATATGTTTTCTGGTTTGAGGTCTCTGTGAATGATCTGTGGATTCAATTCATGCAAATACTGAACACTTTCTAAGATTTGTCAAAATATTTCACACGAAATAAAATACTCGACACAATCCATCGCTTCTCCGATTTGTCGACCAAATACTTTTGTTTTTATTTCCAGAATATTCCTTAAATTCTGTGAACAGAACTCCATTTGAATATACAATGAATTCACTTCAACCCATGAATTGAAATACTGGACCACATATTCGGAGTGAACTTTAACTAAATTCTTAACTTCACTCAATACTTGTCTCATATCAGAAAATTCTAAAATGAAAATTATTTTCAAATAAATTTATAAATAAAAATATATTTAATAATTACCATTAATTTCAATTCTTTTGACGGCATATATCTGTTCATCGATTTTATGTTTTACTTTAAACACAGATCCGAAACTTCCGGAACCTATGGGCTTATCCGACAACTTAATGAATTGATTTTTGTAAGGATTTTCACCTGGATTAGTTTCTATTTGTTAATATTAATTAAATATTAAAGCTATTAATGAAAAATATGAATATTCAATTATTTAATAAATTATTACCTTTACGTAAATTAGGTTTATTTGATATAAGAGTAAATGATTTTAATGAATTTGGTTTTGGCTTTAATTCGGGTTTTGTTTGACCAGATTTTGGGACAATTTCTGGGTTTGGGTTTAATTGCGGTTTTATTTGACCAGTAGTTGAGGCAAATTTTTTATTTAAAACCTGTTTTGTTTGACCAAAATTTAACTCAATTTTCGGGTTTACTTGCAGTTTTGCTTCAACAGAATCTGAGCCAACATTTGTGTCAATAATATGTATTGTATTATAAGTTATTTCGTATTCATTGGCATAAAAGTCAATAAAAGTATTATAATTATATGTTTTCAAATTGTGTGGTGAAGTAAGTTCGCAAATATTATTATCATTTAGTAATATTAATGAATTGAAAACTAAATATGAATATATTTCATTAAATTGTTGCACATTTAATTCTATTGGAATTTTCACCGGAGTCACTTGTGTTTGCCTTTCATTTGTGTCATCAATATATTTGCCACAAAAGTATATCATACTATTTGTTGACAGAAAACACGTAAAATAATTATACAGTAGTTTTATTGAACAACTGATTGCCTTGATATCATGTAATTGTGGGATCAGTTTGGGTGATAATATTTTATCACAGATATTATGACCCAATTGATAGCTATAATTTTCACCCCATCTAAATACCATACCATTGATAGTAATGGCAAATGATTTATCTGTTAAACAGAATATACTTTTAATTTTATAATTATTTTCAAATGATATCAAAACCGGTGATGAGATTATATTGTTTTCATTATCACCGCAACCTATTTGCCCGAAACAATTACTGCCCCACCCGTACACCTGTCCACCGGTGGTGAGAGCGAGGGAGTGATAAGTACCACAACTGATTTGCGTTATATTCTTGTCATTCAAATACGATATCTCCTGTGGTTTTAAATAAACATTTATTTCTGTTACATCTCTGCCACACTGTCCCTTATCATTGTGTCCCCAACTGAACACATGGTTGTCTTCATTCATAGCCAACACAAAATCGCATCCAATGATAAACTGTCGGATCCGTTGTCCACACAATTCGGGTATGAGTTGTGGTGTCGTCACTCTTTTATTTTGACCCAAACCCAGACATCCCCATGAATTATAACCAAAGCCATAGACGGAGTCATTTGTTGTAACAAATAGTAGTACAGTTGAACTTTTATTAGTTAAATATGCCTTTAAAACATGAAATAATTTGATCTCATGTTTAAGTTTTGTGTCAATCCTATCACAGATGCGAAACTTATCCAAAATAGTAAACATTTTCAATACAATTACAATTAATTAAGTAATTTTGTTATATTAAACAACAAAATAATGTTAATAGTTTTCAAATCACTATAAAAATATCTGTATTGTGAGCGTTGTCTTAGTAATAGTGATTTGATATGAATTCACATTTTATGGTTATATTGTATATGTTTTTATATTTCTAATATACAGTAGTTATTTGTTTCATAAAGGATTCAAATAATTTTGATAACATTTCCAGTATAATTTTGTTAACATCGGTATTACCACCCATACCGTAGACATCATTAAATGTGGCAAATAGAGTGGATGCATCGTAAGCGTGCGTTTTTTTTAATGAACGATCCCTAAAACATATAGGGATCGTTCATTAAAAAACGCACGCTTACGATGCACCCACTATATTATGTTCTTAGCGTTGAAAACGTGAAACAATTTAATTTCACTTTTAATACTTGTGCCAATTTTATCAGAAATATTAAACTTAACCAAAAGTGATGACATTTTCATAGAAATTAAATTAATATATTATACATTAATAAAGTTTAATTAATAATAATTTTAAGAATGGCAGAAATTTAAAATAAAAAATTATTAAAATGATAAAAATATTATATCTAAAAAAGTTAATATTTCACTTACGGTTTATTTGAAATTATTTTATCTTAACATTAAAAATATAATAATAATATTTTTTATATAATTCATGATTTTTTATTGTTTTTATTGCAATAATAAAATTTACTGTACAATGTAAGTTGTTTGTATGAAATATATACTAAAACTTTAAGAAAATACAAAAAATTTCAAAATTCATGATAATAATAGTTTTACTATATTTGATTAGATTATACGTCAACATTAGGAAACCTAAATAAACTTATAGTTAAACATTGGTTTGATTGATTAGAAATATATATTACTAATGAAGTTATAATTTATTAAAAAGATATGTTATTTTAAATTCATTTGATACCGATATGTCTGACCAATAAGCATAGGTACGTATGCTGTCCTACAATTTCATATTATTTGGTATGAAATTATTGAATATTGAGTAGTCATCGGATTTCTGTTGATTTATAAATTCATGGAATTCACTAATATGGGACTCAATTATGCCCATGCTAAGTGACCATTTATTACTCATATATAAGATATCGCTGCACCCAGGTCGCTCAGATGGTCCGAATGAAACCATGTGTTTGAAAAAGTCTAAAATATTTTTAACATTCATATGAAATACAGTGTTTTTGTATTTGTTAAGTTCACTCTGGCTATAATAAATATAAAAAATTAATATTCAGAAATTAAAATGAAAAATATTATCAAAAACTTACTCTAAGGTTATATCAAACAATTCCATAGAAATTATACCCAAACTATAAATGTCTGCTTTTGTCGTATACTTTGATTGATGCAATTCTGGGGCCATGTATTTAGGAGTTCCCTTATTTTTAGAGTGACTCTGAGATGCAGTCATGTGCTCTACAGCTAATCCAAAGTCACATAACTTAACAAATCTACCGTTCCTTACATTTTCAGTCATTAATATCTTTTCTGATTTAAGGTCTCTGTGAATGATCTGTGGATTCAATTCATGCAAATACTCAACACTTTCTAAGGCCTGATGGAATATTTCACATGAAATAAAATACTCGACAAAATCCATGGCTTCTCCAATTTGTCGCCCAAATATTTGTGGTTTCACTTCAAGAATATTCCGCAGATTTTGTGAACAGAACTCCACCTGAATGTAGAGGTGTTTGCTTTCGGTCCATGAATTGTAATATTGAACACAATATTCTGAACGAACGACTCCTAAATTTTTAACTTCATTATAAATTTCAAGCAATTTATTCCCAGAAAAATCTAAAAAATTTATAATATATTATTCTACAGTATATTGTTTTAAACTATTTAAATTTTGTATTGTATTTACCATTTATTAGGACTCTTGATGGCATATATCTGATCATCGATTCTATTCTTCACTTTGAACACAGTCCCAAAACTTCCCTTTCCTATGGCCGACAACTCAATGAACAGACTTTTGTAATGACTTTCACACGAATTATGTCCTGATTTTGTTGAATCTATTATTTTAATTAACATTTTAGTAAAATTATTATTAAAACTTAATTATAATATTACAATTAGAAATATGGGCAAGTACCTTCAAATTTATCACTAGTATCACATGCTTTTAAAGTTGAATTAACTGATTGGCTTATATTTGATTTTATTTGTGATTTTGATTTAACAGAATTTGAAAATACTTTTGGTTTTGGTTGTAATTTAGAGTTTGAAATTATTTTAATTGTATCCGTTTTTGTGACAACTTTTTTGTTAAATTCTGGTTTTGTTTGACCAGATTTTGGGACAACTTCTGGGTTTGCGTTTAATTGCGGTTTTGGTTGACCAGTAGTTGAGACACCTTTTTTGTTTAAAACCTGTTTTGTTTGGCCTGAATTTAACTCAATTTTCGGATTTAATTGCAGTTTTGCTTCAACAGAATCGGTGACAATATTTGTGTCATTAATATGAATTGTATTATAAGTTATTCCCCATTTAGTGTCATAAAAGTCAATAAAATTATTATAATTATATGTTTTTAATTTAATTGGTGAAATTAACTCGCAAATTTTATTATCATTTAATATTAGTAATGGATTTCTATAACAAAATGAATAAAATTCAGGAAATTGTTGCACATTTAATTCTGTAGGTATTTGCACCGGGGTCTTTTGTATATTAATTTTATTTATGTCATCAATATATTGGCCACAAAAGTAAATAATATTATTTGTAGACAGAAAACATGCAAAATAATTATTGTCTGAGATTTCTGTACATATTATTGATTTGATATGACGTAAATCTGGGATAAGTTTGGGTAATAATATATCATTTTCAATATTATGTCCCAATTGATGGTCACTATTATGACCCCAACTGAATACCATACCATCGATAGTAACGGCAAATGAACCGTCAGTTAAAGCGAAAATACTTTTAATTTTATAATTATTTTCAAAATTTATCAAAACCGGCCATGATACTATCTTATGTTTATCGCCGCATCCTACTCGTCCATTATAATTACTGCCCCACCCGTACACCTGACCATCGGTCGTGAGGGCCAGTGAGCAATGATCAGAGCAATTGATTTGTGTTATATTCTTGTCATTCAAATCGGGAATTTTCCATAATTGTCTTTTTTCCAGATCCAGATCCCTACCTAACTCTCCCCAGCATTGTCTCCCCAACTGAACACATGGTTGTCCCCATCGATAGCCAACACAAAGTCCCAGCCATTGATGAATTGTTGGATCCGTTGTCCGCATAATTCTTGTATAATCTCTGGTGTTTTGACATAATGTTTGTCAGCCAAACCCAGACATCCCATGTTATTAGCGCCCATACCGTACACTATATCGCTGTTTGTAATAAACAGTATATTCCGAGCATTGAAAACGTGAAATAATTTGATTTCATGTTTGATATTCTTGTCAATCGTATCACAAATGTGAAACTTTTCTAAAATTGTAGACATTTTCGACACAATTATAATCAATTATTTAAGTATTTTTTTGTAAATTAACAGCAAAATAATTTTGAAAGTTTCTGATCACTAGAAAAATGTCTGTTTTGTTAGCGCTGTCTTAGAAATAGTGATTTCATATGAATTTTGTGGCGTAACTGAAAATGAAGTCCTATTTAATTGTGTGATAACTTAATAGTAGTATGATAACTTTTGTCATCGAAAATGTGCGATAAATTTAATACTTATTTATATAGACGTTAAAAAATAAAGTTTGAGTGTATTAAATATAATTTTTAATAACATTTTTATCGCGATAATTATTTTAATAAATAATATATTAATATTTTAAACTTTAAATTTTTGCTTAGATTCTAAAAATAATTTTAACATGTGTTGTTAACATAGAGTTATCTGTTATAAAACTTAAAATATAATTGTACATATTTATTTTAATTTGCATTTTATAATTTCATTAAATATAGAATATTTATTAAATTTGTATTCATTAATAATTGTGTGAAATTCACTAATATGTGTTTGTAGAATCTCCTTTGCTAAGTGAATATTTATTGCAGGTTTTCAATAGTTCATTGCACCCTGGTCTACTAATTGGCACGTACGATACCATTGACACGAACATTGCTAAAGTACTTTCAATATTCAGGTGAAGTGGACCTGTTTTGTATTTATCCAGCTCACCCTCTCTGAAATATTAATAACAAATGTCTTAGAAATTAAAAATTATTATTATAAACCTTACTTACTCTAAGGTTATATCAAACAATTCCATAGAAATAATACCCAAACTATAAATGTCTGCTTTTATTGTATACTTTGATCGATACAATTCTGGGGCCATATATTTTGGAGTTCCCTTATTTTTAGAGTGACTCTGAGATGCAGTCATGTGCTCTACAGCTAATCCAAAGTCACATAATTTAACAAATCTACCGTTCCTTATATTTTCAGCAATTAATATGTTTTCTGGTTTGAGGTCTCTGTGAATGATCTGTGGATTCAATTAATGCAAAAACTGAACACTTTCTAAGATTTATCGCAATATTTCGTACGAAATAAAATACTCGACGCAATCCATAGATTCTCCTAAATGTCGACCAAATACTTCTGGTTTCACTTCAAGAATATTCTGTAAATTCTGTGAACAGAACTCCATTTGAATGTAGAGGTGTTTGCTTTCATTCCACGAGTTGTAATACTGGACCACAAAATCTGGACTCAATTTACTTAACTTTTTCGCTTCTTTATAAACTTTTTCGGTACTTTAAACTTTTTTTTTAAACTTTGTAAACATTTGACGGCATATATGTGATCCTTGAGTTTATGCTTTACTTTGAATACAGTTCCGAAACCTCCCGAACCGATAGCCGACATTTCAATGAACAGACTTTTTTAATGACTTTCACACGAGTTATTAATATTTTCTAATGACGAAATTGCTTTACAAAAATTAATTAACCATTAATATATCAGTATTCATATAATTATAATGTTCAAAATAATACCCTGATTTGAATCACCATTTTCTTGTATTTGATCTAAATTTTCATTTAATTCAACATCAATTTCTTGGGAATTGTTGCTAATGTTTTTGTGAACAAATAGCGTATTGTAACTAATTTTATGTTCAATTGCATAGAATTCAATAAAACCACTATAATTGTGCATTCTCATATTAATCGGTGTAATTATTTCGCAAACTATATTATCACTTATCATTGTTAGTCGGTTGTCATTAAAATATGAGTGAAACTCATTCAAGTACTGAACAGTTAGGTTTACTGTCATTTGCATCGGGGTGGTTTGTACTTGGATGCATCTAAACCTATCAATATATTGTCCGCAAAAATATACGGAATTATTATTTGATAGGAAACAAGTGAAATGATTATCTCCCGTATGCGTAGAACTGATGGATTTAATGTCATTTAATTGTGGGATCAGTTTGGGTGACCAAATGGCATCTAAAATAAAAGGCAATTATAATCAATCACATTTCAAGTAGATAATAACTGTTCTACCCCATAAAAGTCTAAAACCCAAAAAGCCTAAACCCAAATGCTTTAAAACCTAAAAGGTATAAACTCAAATAATTAATTGACCAGTGGATATATTTATTAGTAGAATACTGTAAAGTCAAATGACCATTGGTCAATTAGTTATATAAGTTTAGGCCATTTCGGGATTAGGCCTTTTAGGCTTTAGGCCTTTAGGGTTCAAAAAAGTTTGGGTGAGTCCTTAAAAAATTTACAATACATTTTTGAATGTGCAATTGACAATGTCACATTGTTATTGGTTAGTAGTATTTAATATTGTATTTTATATTAAATATATACAAATTATTTACCTTGGTAAACTTTTGTATCCGTGACATGGTGTCCTAATTGACAAAATTTATTGTCACCCCAACTGTACACCAGACCATCGATAGTAATAGCAAATGAATTATAATTAAAACAGAAAATACTTTGGATTTTATAATTATTTTCAAACTCTATTAAAATTGGTGAATATATTTTATCATGCTCCTTATCACCCGTACCAATCTGCCCGTCATAATTACTGCCCCACCCGTACACCTGTCCACCGGTGGTGAGGGCCAGGGAGTGCTTATAACCGCAACATATTTGTGTGATATTCTTGTCATTCAAATCGGGTATGTTTTCCGGTTTTAAATGAATACCAAATTCTGTCACATGTCTACCCAACTGTCCCTCGGAATTGTGTCCCCAACTGAATACATAGTTGTCCTCATTGACGCCCAGCACAAAGTCCCAGCCATTTATGAATTGTTTGATCCGTTGTCCGCATAATTTGGGAATAAGTTGGGGTGTCTTCACCTCAATCTCGTGACCCAAACCCAGACATCCGATATAATTACAGCCCAACCCATAGGCCTTATCATCGTATGTGACAAACAGTATATTCGTCTCATTGATAACATCATTGAAAACGTGAAATAATTTGATTTTATATTTATTCGCGTCAATCGTATTACAAATGCGAAACTTTTCTAAAAGTGACGACATTTTCAACAAATAACAATAAAATAATTAATTGCGACAAAAAATATTCAAAATAAAATGTAATATTAGTGTGATTTATAAAATAATTATATATAAAAAATATTGTTTTTATTTTATAATAACTTTTAATAGTATACTGAAGTGAATTGAATGGTGATATGAATGGTATTGTGGCCGGAAATATGTGATAAGATTTTTATGCATTCACATAAACGTTACTATTATATAAAAGGTCATATGTTAGGGTATAAAAATATACATTAGTGATTAATATAGTTTTATATAATAAATTATTGAACACAATATTATGTTTATCATCAGGGTTTCAAAGTAACAAAAATGGTTTTTATTAAATTTCTGTATTAAATTATTATAACTGATAATATATTTTATGGCAATAATTATCTCAATTGAAACCCTACAGATACTGGGAAATGTATTTGTTGATTTTGTTTTAACCGTTGATTTATTGATAAAATAACACTTAAAATAAAAGTATTTTACTAATTTTTAATGTCGATGTAATAATATCATTATGAATTTATATAAATGAGCTATTAGATTTATGTTTTAATATCCATAATTTATAAGTTTTATATGCATACTTGTGCAAGTACTTATTTGATAAAACATTTTAAACATATTTTATAGAAAAGAAAAACCCTCATTATATCATAGGCTAGAAATAGCTAAACGACAATTTTAAAAACAATTTTAATTATTTTACTAGCTTAATTTTGTGTATTTTGTATTTTTAACTTGTTAAATTTTCGTTTTTAAATTTATGTTCAATAATCTCTTTAAATATTAAATTATCGTCAGAGGTGCATTGATTAATGAGTGTATTAAACTTTATCATATTTGATTCTATAATATCATTGCTAAATGACCATGTACTTGATGATTTTAATATATCCCTACACATAGGTCGGACATTAGAGCCAAAGGAAACCATTGAGTTAAATATGGCGAATATATTTGTTATATTCGGTTGAAATAAACTTTGTTCGTATTTATGAAGATCACTAAAATATGTATTTAAAAAATATATTAATGCACATAAATAATGTTATTAAATTATAAGAAATAATATACTCTAGTGATATATTGAACAGCTCCATTGAAAGAATACCCAAACTAAAAATGTCAGTTTTAACAGTATATTTTGAATAGGTCAATTCTGGGGCCCTATATCCAAATGTTCCAACATTTACGGAGTGACTCTGAGTTTCAGAAGCTGTCCGATGCTCGACTGCCAAACCAAAGTCACATAACTTTACAAATCTACCGTTCCTTACATTTTCAGCGATTAATATGTTTTCTGGTTTGAGGTCTCTGTGAATGATCTGTGGATTCAATTCATGCAAATATTCAATATATCACTAGAGTATATTATTTCTTATAATTTAATAACATTATTTATGTGCATTAATATATTTTTTAAATACATATTTTAGTGATCTTCATAAATACGAACAAAGTTTATTTCAACCGAAATGAAATACTCGACACAATCCATGGCATCTAATAATTGTCGACCAAATACTTCTATTTTTACTTTAAGAATATTTCTTAAATTCTGTGAACAGTACTCCATCTGAATGTAAAGGTGTTTGCTATCGCCCCATGAATTGAAATATTGTACACAATATTCTGAACGCACCTTAAATAAGCATCTCACTTCTTTGTAAACCTTTTGTAACCTTTCTTCGCTAATTACTGAAATTAATAGAAAATATTTTTTAAAAATAATTTATGGATTTAACCATATTTTTAATATTTGTCATGAACTATTTGTTCTCAATTGTGTTAAATCCAATTTAATAAATTTATCATAATATTCATTAAACAGTATAAAGGAAATATCATTGATGAATTTGAAACTATTCTTTTAGTATTTAATATTCATCAGATTTTATTAATTATAATTAATTCCACACTTAGTTACAGTTAGTTATTTCATAAGTAACTGGTTATTAAAGTCGAATAATGGTTAGACACTTTTCCGTATTGGTTATTCTCTGACTTTGAATAGCGGTTCAATAGCTTAAGTACCACATAAAATGGTGTATAATAAAAGGTATATTTCAAATTTAAAAGGTTCGAGTGTACGATGGACGATATCAAGTTTATTTAAAATTGTTATATATAAGTATTATCAAAATTTTTCATCACCTTTATAATTTATTAATTTTTAGTAAACATAAATTAGTTTATAATAAATGTAAATAAGCATAATATTCACTAACCCTTTAATTCAATTATTTTGACGGCATATATCTGATCATCAATTTTATGCTTCACTTTGAATACCTCTCCGAAACCTCCCGAACCGATTGGTTTGTCCAACAACTCAATGAATTGACTTTTGTAGTGATTTTCACATGAATTGTTTCCTAATTTTGCTGAGACTATTAATTGTTTGACAATAATTTATTTAAAAAATATGCAGTATCATGTATGTATCTAACAAATAATACCATCCCTTGAATTATTATCCATTATCTCGCGAATATTCTCGCCAACATCACCCATGGCATACATTCTACCTGCGGTGCCTTTAGTCAGTAGCTCCAAATAGGGGTCGGCTTTATTGCCAATTGCCAAACAATTAACAATTACCTTAATTACCCAATAAATATATTTAATATTTTAATAACTTATTAATAATAAGATTGGTAGAAAGAAGGAGAGCCTTCAAAATTGTTAAATGTTAGTTGGAAATTTATTTTATATTTGCATTTGATTTATAGTTCTTGGTCGGGCAAGTACATTTAATTTAGGAACAAATGGCCCGATCATTGTAATTTAATAAATACAGTACACAAATGACTCAGCTACCTTTGCGTCTAATAAATGTGGCAATACGTCACCCACGTAATCGGAGGAACCACAATTATGTTTACTTCCGGTAACCAAAAATAAAACAGCGCCCTCTGTAGGTACATTGGCCAGTTTCAACGCATTTAGGCCCTCCATAACACCGGCCCTGATGTCAGTTTTATCCGCCGCCATTTGAGGTATTTTGTTCTGGAGCCCATTTCTGACATTACCATCCGTGATCTGGACCACCGGATGCTCAATCCAACTGCGCTTGTTAAACAATACGATACCCACGTGGTTACCTAACTGAAGTTTCTCAATGAACCTTTGAATTTCCAGCTGTAATGTTTGACACTTGGTTCCTATCATACTTATGGACACGTCCAACACAAATACAATACACTGTTTCATAGTTATTTTGTATTAGGGTTGCTTATAATTATTTAAGAATTTTTAGTAAATATTTATTATAATTTTATCAACATTATTATAATTTGATCATCAAAGATTATACTACACTGTTGCAAAATAATATTTAACAATAAACTAACATCAAACAAATTGGTAATTGAAAGTTCATATATTAATAGAAGCCTAAAAATGAAAATTTATTAAAAGTAAAATAATAATAAACTAATAAAACTGAAAATGTCGTTTAATTTGATTGTGATATCAAAGTGTTGTCATGGTATATATGTAATAAAAGTATTATAAATTGATTACAGTATACCTTTTGATATAATTATAATAATTACGTCAAATTCTGTTATATATTATTAGGTTATGAATACTTTTGTTTTACACATTACATTAAAAAAAACTAGTAATAATAATAACTGGTTAATATAATTGTGCACCCGTTATTTAACAAATACTCTAATACTAGTCTAATTGTAACATTTTTGTAAATTCATAAAAATTTTAATGCATTTATTAAAACTGATTTTTAAATATATTATAGTATTACATAAAAAATTTAACAAAAAGTTGATTATGGTGGCTAAGTTGGTTTATAATAAATTCACTTCTTCCTAAAATATTCTGATCGATAGACAAATCACATATTTAGGCAAAGGGTGTGAACAGTCTGGTTGCTAACAAATCATTTATATTTGTGTTTAGGATTTTATTCACGTATTAATTACTCCTCGTACTTCAGAACTTCTGTATATTTATTAAAGTCAATTTTTATTAAAATGATCATGCAATATTATAATAAATTTGTATTATAATTATGTTGATAGCCAGATTTTTTTGACTAGATTTTTGGAAAAGCCGAGTTTTTGTTACCACAGAATTTGAAGCAATATTTTGTTGTGTTTCACCCGGTTTGCACACATTTGTATGCAATGTATTGTAACTGATTTGATACTCATTGGCATAGAAGTCAATTAAATTATTGTAATTATAATTTTGCAATATATCCGGTAGAACATTGAGAACTAAAAGGCTCTTAACACTGCATGAAAATTCATCATGCACATCCTAGGGCGGGTGGGGGGGGGGGAAACCTAGTTAAGTAATATTATTAATGAGTAGTCATTGATTTCATCACTTTTTAATAAATTTGGTGTTTATTGCAAGTCATAGTGACCGCCATTGACATACCCTTCGCTTTAGACTACTGTTCCCCAAATTATTAGTGTTTTTGTATTGTGAATATCAATCGTTGCCACCATTTGGACAGACATTCATAACTGAAGTCCTGTTTAAGTGATAGGAAAGACAGTTAGTGTTGATCGTATCACAAATGAATTGTTAGAGGCTCGACTGAGATTAATGTGTTATGGTAACATCAGCCCTAACATTCAAACATGATTAAAACACAGTTGAGACTACCCCGATACATTCATCCATTGCTGAGATAAATATATTATAAAATATCAATTTTTGACATTTAGGGAATTTTTAAAAATCAAAGAAGTAAAATTTCGAGAAATCCAGAAATTACTTTTGTAGAAATGACCTCGCTCATCATTTCCAAAAATCAGAATTCGATTATCACTTATAGTTTTTGAGATCTCGATGACCCGTTCCCCATCCCGACCTCTTTTGAGCAGACACAAATAGGACATATTAACATATTGGTGCGCTAAAACCATGTTTCTCAAAAATTTTATAACAAAGAGTAAATCAATTACAAAACAAATAAGGTATTTTAATTACGTAGTTTTTATTTTATTTTGAAAAATATTAGTGAAAAACTGATCATGCAGCTTTAACTTGGATAGTGTTAATTCGACATTAAAATCCTTAAGAATATTCTGTTCAAAAGTCCAATCATTACATTTATTTAGTACTTGTGAACAGTCAGCCCGTCGGCTAATAAACGGTAATATCATTGACTGCAAGAGTTTGTGTAATGAAATTACTTTTGGGTTTAAGACTTCATTCACGGAATAAATACTTTCAGAACTATATTAACGAATAAAAGATTATTTACTAAAGTTTATATATTATTTTATGTATGCATACTTATCAGGGTCGGTATAAAATAAATCCAATTCAAATATTTCTGAACCAATTATTGCCAGACTATAAATATCTACTTTAAGTCCATATTTGCTTCCCTGAGATATTTCGGGTGCTAGATACTTTATTGTGCCCACACCTGTAGAGTGTTTATCACGTGTCATATAATTGATTTCTTTGTCGTGAACTGTAGTCAAACCAAAGTCACATAACTTAATAAATCTACCGTTCCTTACATTTTCATCGATTAATATGTTTTCTGGTTTGAGGTCTCTGTGAATGATCTGTGGATTCAATTCATGCAAATNTTTTCTGGTTTGAGGTCTCTGTGAATGATCTGTGGATTCAATTCATGCAAATACTGAACACTTTCTAAAATCTGACGGAATATTTCACACGAAATAAAATACTCGACAAAATCCATGGCTTTTCCTATTTGTCGCCCAAATACTTGTGGTTTCATTCAAGAATATTCCGCAGATTTTGTGAACAGAACTCCATCTGAATGTAGAGGTGTTTGCTTTCGGTCCATGAATTGTAATATTAAACACAATATTCTGAACGAACGACTCTTAAATTTTTAAATTCATTATAAATTTCAAGTAATTTATTCCCAGGAAAATCTGAAAATTTTATAATATACTGTATTATACTACAGTATATTGTTATAAACTTTTTAAATTTTGTTTTTACCATTTATTAGGACACGTTTGACGGCATATATACTGTTCCAAAACTTCTCGAACCGATGGCCGACAACTCAATAAACAGACTTTTGTAATAAATTTGATTTTATTTGTGATTTTGATTTAACAGAATTTGAAAAGACTTTTGATTTTGGTTGTAACTTAGGTTTTGAAATTGTTTTAATTGTATCCGTTTTTGTGACAATTTTTTTGTTTAATTCTGGTTTTGTTTGACCAGATTTTGGCACAAATTTTGGGTTTGAATTTAACTCTTGTTTTGTTTCACGAGAATTTGATACCGTTTTTGGATTCAAGTTTTGAAGTTTTAATTCATAAGAATCGGTGACAATATTTGTGTCAATAATATGTATTGTATTATAAGTTATTCCGTATTCATTGGCATAAAAGTCAATAAAATTATTATAATTATATTCTTTCAAATTATATGGCGAAGTGAGCTCGCAAATTTTATTACAATTTAATAGTATTAATGGATTCAAAAAATAATATGAACATAATTGGGGAAATTGTTGCACATTAAATTTTATGGGTATTTGCACCGGTGTCATTTGTATTTGCCTTTTATTTTTATTATCAATATATTTGCCACAAAAGTATATCTTATTATTTGTTGACAGAAAACATGTAAAATAATTATCTGATGAGAATGTTGGACATAAAATTGATTTGATATGACGTAAATGTGGGATCAGTTTGGGTGACAATATATTATCTGAAAATTGATTATGACCCAATTGCTCCTTATTATCGCCCCAACTCAATACCATACCATCGATAGTAACGGCAAATGAGCAGTCAGTAAAAGTGAAAATGCTTTTAATTTTATAATTATTTCCAAAATCTATCAAAACAGGCGATACTTTTATGTTTTTATTATCACCGCAGCCTAATTGTCCCCACCTATTACTGCCCCACCCGTACACCTGACCATCGGTTGTGAGGGCCAGGGAGTGATTAAATGAGCAAATGATTTGTTTGATATTCTTGTCATTCAAATAGAAAATCTTCTGAGGAATCTTCCATACTTGACGTGTTTCCTGATCCCTGCCTAACTGTCCCCAATCATTGCTTCCCCAACTGAACACATAGTTGTCCTCATTCATAGGCAACACAAAGTCCGAGCCATTGATGAACTGTCGGATCCGTTGTCCGCATAATTCTTGTATAATCTTTGGTGTTTGGACATTACGTTTGTTAGTTAAACCCAGCCATGCATTGATATTATAGCCCATACCGTACACTATATCACTGTTTGTAATAAACAGTATATTCTGTTTATTTCGTAAGTCATTGAAAACGTGAAATAATTTGATCTCATGTTTGATATTCGTATCAATCGTTTTACAAATGCGAAACTTTTCTAGAATTATAGACATTTTCGACACAATTATAAGTAAATTAATTAATTAATTAATTTTATTTTTAAAAAATTAACCAAAAAGAATTAAGTTTAAATCACTATAAAAATGTCTGTATTGTGAGTAGGGTTCCCAAATCTCAAGGGTCAAGCAGGACTCTCAAGGAATCGATGGTATGCTCAAGGAAATATTTTCAAAAAATATGACCATTTCAATGGACCTCAAGGGACTTTATGGTCACTTATTAAAAGGTCATAAAAATTAAGGGCGTTTGTAAGGTAAAAATAAAGATTCTCAAGGAATTTGATTCTTGAAATTGGGAACGCTAATTGCTAGCGATGTTTTTAAAATAGTGATTTTATATGAATTCACATTTTATTATTATATTATTTTGTTACCAAAACTATTGTCAATAGCACTTAAAAGGTATTATTTTTAGTCAGTATACAACTTTTGATAATTTTTACTGCAATAATAAAAATCATATGACCCTCAGCATACAATTACGTATTATACTAGTTACTTAATGATAATGACAATTTAAGTAATAAAAAATTAAAATAATTTTAAAACCTTGGTACTAATCCAAAATCATTAAAATTAATATTTTTAAATTTTAAATTATTATTTATTTTGAATACTTTTAATTTTGTATAAATGTGTGATTTTAATCATTGGATATTTTATTAAAAATTAAATAATTATATAATAAATAATTTATGTTTTTAATAAAATTAATCTAATCATAAATAGTTTATTATTATACTATAGTAAATATAAATTAATAAAATTCTGAAAGCTGTAAAACATTTTGAAATAATTTTTCATGAATGTCTTTTCACTCATAACACTTATGTTATAAAACATTTTTATTAAAAATAATTAATATTAAAATTGTTAATTGTATTACAAATGCGAGATATATCCAATAGAGTAGTCATCGTTTAATAAATTTAAATAATTTTTTGTTTCACAATAAAATTTTAATTTTAAAAAATTATATTTAATATAAATATATAGCTAGATATTTAATTATAATTTAATTACTGTACAGAATATGCAATTAAATAACTAAGAGTATAGATTGAAAATGTCGTATGTAGATAGACATAAAAACTGCGATAAATTTATATTAATTAATATAAATGTTACAAATTTATGAAGAGTTAGAAAATTTATTTTCATTTTCAACAGAAATGATTGAAGTTTCATTAAAATTATTTTATAATTTTTAATCTAGTAGGAATTATAAAACTAAATTAGTGTAATAAATTGAGTTATAATGATATATATATAAATTATCATATTTATACTGAATCTAATTTATTGTATTATGTTGATATATCATTGTTGTCAAGGATTTGCTTTGTATTGTATTTTAATTTACAGTAAATGATTGCGAAAACCACACTTACAATTAAAATACATTTACTATTTATAATTGTATATACGGTATAAACTACTATTATAATAAATTATAAATGAAGTGTACAGATTTTTATATTAATTTTAAAATAGGTCAAACTTTAATTATTTAAGATTTATTAGCGCCTCTTCCTATTTACAATTTATTAATATTTTGTTACATCCAGGTCTGATACTAGAATTACGGCTAAAACTATTTATTGTATGCTCATGCTGAATTAAAAATTATTATTTAAATTAATTTATATACCTACAGTTAAATATTATTATAGTACAGTATTAGGCCACATGTTAATTTTCAAAGTCCATGTAAACTACAATATCTATTAATAATTATTTTTATTTTTATCTGGTTTACAGTACAAATATTATTTTTAAATTTAATTAATTTAAAATTACAAAATATTTCGCAATTGTAAACTACACTACAACGTATAAGACTAAACAACCAAATAACAATAAAAATATTAAAATTCATTAAAAGCTTATAATTAATTGAATTTAAAATCAGGTTTAATTTCTTTAACTATACCCGTAGTTACATAATACATGTAAAAATAAAGTTATATAAGCAAGTTTACATCTCATTGTTAAATAATTTCAAGAACAAAGTTAAAACTTTTATTTTAAAATTAACAAGTTAATTTTTTTAACCTCAAGAATTATGAGACTGTAGCGTCGTTTATGTTGGTGGCTGGTCAGGTACAATTTTCAATAAAAATCTTGATAAATCTAAGTATAAAATACTTTCAAAAATACAATTAAAATTTAATATACAATATAACATATTGATACTTGTACTATTTAGTTATGTATGTTATAAATAATTAATATACTTTACATACCATATTTTATATTTATTTTATTGTAAAACTATTTATTTTTTCATATCTCTTGAGACTATACAAAACAAGGACTTTAACTCCGCTTTCGTACGACTGTAATAGTGTTTAATAGTACTCTGCAGTCATATGAAAGCCGAGTTACAGGCCTTGTTTTGTATAAACATAAGAGAATAGTCTAATTAAAAATCTATACCAACCTCAGGGACTGAGTATTGGTGGGTCCGTCAGTCCCATACTCACCGGTGCCGACGATATTACGGATACAGTCGGGGATTTCGGAAACGAAGACCTGAGGGATGCCTCGGGAACCTTCGTAGATGTTGATGACCAGGGTAAAGATGCCCTCACAGATGGCTTTAACGAGGGTGCTCAAAGTATCAGTCAAGGTGTGGGTCCCATAGAAAGTGAGATTGACGAGGAGACTGGACTACCCCTGACTGAAGTCCATGAAGAGGTGCAAGATGAGTTAGGAAATGTTATTGGCACAGTTGAGGACATACCTTGCCCAGTTCCCGATGCTACCAATGCTGTACAAGGTGTTGTTGACGATGGTACCGGTGTCGTTGATGGTGTTATTGGGACCGCTAATGATGCACTGACTGAATAAGAATTTTGATCATGATAATAAAATTGTATTTGATTTATATGTTTTAATTTTGCTTATTTATAATAAGAGTACAGTATGTGATTATATTCATAACAATTATCAATTATATGCACATACTGTTTAAATTATGTTATTTATTGAAATTCACATGTTCAATTTTAGAATTGAATTTCATTATTAATTATTATATGCAGTGCATCATGATTAAAATAACTTAGTTTGGTTAGTGAGTATTAATCAAAAATATTATAATGTATAACAAGGTGAATTTGTCTAAAATATTTTTTAATGTTATTATGATAATAATTATATCAAAATATTTGGTTATTATAGACTCAGATGGACGATTGCTGATATGTTATTAGATTTTGTACAATTTATTAACATGTTATAAAGTATTTATAATGTTTCAATTATGATAAAACAATTGTATTAAGTTTTTTGCTATTTATTCACCAGAATTACAGAATTGCCAAAAACGTGTTTGCATTTGATATGCGAATATAATTAATGTATATAAT